TCTTCAGGTTTTCCTTGCTCGCCTCTAGCCCTCGCGTGGTGTTATGTTCTCCTTTCTCAACTTGAGCCCTCCTCAATCTTGACCTTTTCTCTCACTCGATCGACTCCTCTGCTCCTCTCTCATTTTGGCTCTCATTTGCTGAATGAAGGAGAAACCCCTAATTGTTTCTTTAAATAAACATTTCCCTAGTTGTTTGATATTACAAGATTTAATTATGCCGTTCAATTGAATGAATTTTTAAGTTGTTGGATCCCTTAAATGGTGTAATCAGGATCATCCATCTCTTGATTTCTTTTTGCCTCCTTCAATTTTTATTTAATTATGCTTTTGCCCCTTTTTCCCACACATTTTCATTTAGCTCCTTAAAATTTATAATAACCCCCTAATTACTAAAATTTCTTTCATTTAGGCCTTAAATCCTAATTTAATTTATTTATTTACACACCCTTTTATTTTAGGGACCAGATATTACAATTCTCCCCTCCTTACAAAAATTTGGTCCTCCAACTTTGATACATCTTTAAAGTAAGTAAGGATATCGAGCTCGTATCAAGTCCTCAGTTTTTCAAGTAGCTTCTACTGGTGAATTATGTTGCCAGAGTACTTTGACCATTGGAATAGTCTTGTTCCTTAATACTCGCTCTTGTCTATCTAATATGCCTATGGGTATTTTTTGATAAGACATGTCTTTCTCGATAGGAATATCTTCATACTGAAGTACATGAGATGGGTCAGGGTGATACTTCTGTAGCATGGATACATGAAACACATCATGGATATTAGCTATATTCGGTGGCAATGCCAGTTGGTAAGTAATAGTCTCAACTCTTTCCAGTATTTTAAATGGTCCAATGAAGTGAGGGCTCAATTTCTCTTTCTTCCCAAATCTCATAATGTTCTTCATTGGTAACACTTTTAAGAACACATGGTCCCCTGTCTCAAATTCTAAGCCGCTTCTACAGTTGTCTACGTAACTTTTTTATCTACTTTGAGTTGTTTGAAGATTTTTCTTAATTAGGACAATCTTTAAGGTAGTTTCTTTGACTAATTCAAGTCCAGTTAATTTCCTGTCTCTAATATCTTCCCAACATATAAGAGATCTACAAGGTCTACCATAAAGTGCTTTATATGGAGCTGTACCAATACTGGACTGATAACTATTATTATAGGTAACTTCGATTAGTGGTAGATGGTCATCCCAATTTCTTCCCATGTCTAGTACACAAGCTTTAAGCATATCTTCTAATGTCAGGATGGTTCTCTTTGTTTGGCCATCTATTTGTGGATGAAATGTTGTACTGAAAGATAATGTGGTGCCTAGAGCCTGCTGAAGACTTGTCCAAAATCTGTAGGTGAAACGAGCATCGCTATATGAAACTACTTACATCAGAATGCCATGAAGTCTAATCACTTCTTTAATATATATCCTGGAAAGTTTGTCTAAAATGTCAGTAGCTTTCATTAGCAGAAAATTGGCTGACTTTGTTAATCTGTCCACTATCACCCAAATAGCATTACAGTTCAACTTGGTTCTAGGCAAACCCATCACAAAGTCCATAGTGATATGTTTCGATTTTCATTTTGGAATTGGTAGGGGTCAGAGTAATCCCCCTAGTGTTTGATGTTTAGCTTGATCTTTTGACAAGTGAGACATTTGTTAACAAATAAAACACACACAACCTATATCTTTTGATGTTTAGCCTTGATCTTTTGACAGAGATATCTTTCTTCATTTTATTCCACCAATGTCGAGGTCGCAAGTTTTGATACATCTTGGTGATACTTGTGTGTATGGTTATAATTTAGAGGTATGCGTTTCCTCTTAAGAAGAGTCTCTT